CCCCAGTGGGCAGGCAGCGACCAAGGAGGACAGCCCAGGCCAAGGCAGGCAACCGCATGTCAGCTGTGCTGCACGTGGAGGCCCTGGAGAGGCAGCTGTTTCTGGAACCTTCTCAGGCACTTGGGCCTCCAGAGCCTCAGGAAGCCAGAGTGCCCGGCAAGGCCCAGCCAGAGGTGGAAACCAAGGCAGAGCCCAGCCACACAGTGGCCCTGCCCCCTGTGGCCCTGAAGCCACCTCCCGTGGAGCTGGAAGTCAATCTCCTGACCCCTGGGGCCGTTCCCCCCACCGTGGTCTCCTTTGGAACAGTGAGCACCCCAGCTGACAGGCTGGCCTTAATAGGGGGCCTGGAGGGCTTCCTGAGCAAGATGGCAGAGCATAGGCAGCAGCCTGACATCAGGACCCTCACGCTACTGGCCGAGGTGGTGGAGTCCGGGAGTCCTGCGGAGTCCTTGCTGCTGGCCCTCCTGGACAAACACCAGGTGGAGGCCGACCTGACATTCTTTAACACGCTGGTGAGAAAGAAGAGCAAGCTGGGAGACCTGGAGGGGGCCAAGGCGCTGTTGCCAGTCCTGGCGAAGAGGGGCCTTGTCCCCAACCTGCAGACGTTCTGCAACCTGGCCATCGGGTGCCACAGGCCGAAGGATGGTCTGCAGCTGCTGACAGACATGAAGGTGAGTGGACCTGGGCCTGGGCAGGACGCCCGTGGTCCTGAGGAGCACTCTGCAGCTCAGGAGGAAAGTTTGGGGGAGCAGGGGTCCCTCAAGCCCCCCACTTGGATGAACTGTGCATAGGGGCAAAGAGAGTGGGGTTGATGAGCTTCTGGTGTAGAATGGTCTTCGGTCCCATTTTGGGGGAAGCAGACCCCAGAGAGTGCTTCAGGGCTGGGCGTAGAGATGCACGGATGTTCCCGTCTGGAAGAAGGTGGCCGTGGGGTGACACTGAGGGCTGGGGACAGGCCTCGGCCCCAACACTCTAGAGGTATGGCAGGGATTCTCAGAATTCCTGGGGAGCCATGGGTGGTTTTCAAAGCCCCCGAGATCTGCTGTGCCTCCCACCTAGCCCCCATTGGAAGTGCTGCGTGGATTTCATCCGACCACAGCAGAGACTGCGTCCTGCGTTGTCGGGGTCCCCCAGGTCCATCACCCTCGGGCTGTTTTCCTGGACCCTGCCGGGCTCACCTAGCCAAGACTCACGCTTTTCTAGGCTGACCACCACCTGGTGACCATGCATCATGGGGAAACCCACCCCAGGGAGCGAGGAGGTGGTGTCTCCCGCATCATTTTCTGCCTGAGTCAGTCGGTGTCTGAGAGCAGCACGGGCGTCCTTTTCCGCAGTTTCTTTAGGGCTGAGCAGAAGGGCTGGGCTTGGCTTTCCTGCTGGAGAGGGACATTCAGCTCATCGTTGCTGCCGGGTTTGCCTTGCTGGCTGTGGCCGCTGGTCCAAGGAGCCAGCTTGATTGACAGAGGGTGGGAGCTGCTGGGTCCCAATAGCTGCCATCATCTTGCTGATTCTATGATGTCCCTGTGTTCTAGAAGTCCCAGGTGACCCCCAACACTCACATCTACAGCGCCCTCATCAACGCGGCCGTCAGGAAGCTGGACTACACCTATCTCATCAACATCTTGAAAGACATGAAGCAGAACAGGGTCCCAGTGAACGAAGTGGTCATCCGCCAGCTGGAGTTTGCAGCCCAGTACCCTCCGACCTTTGACCGGGTGTGTGCCCCAAGCTCAAGCTCATCAGCTCCTTCACCATTTCTAACCCCCGCCACCACCCAACCCTGGTTCTGGCCCTTGGGATTGTGTTCTCATGCTTGAAACTGTCCAGCAGCTTCTCTTAGGAGCAGTCCCCAAGTCTGTAGACCACAGCCTGAGTCCCTGTCCACATGGCTCATCTCAAGTCTCAGGCCAGCCTTCCCTTTGCTGCCTCTGTCCATCCCAGTGGCTTTCCGTCAGTTCCCAAAGGCCACCAGCCTCTTGCCTGCCTCGGGATTGGTGTTCCCGCTGCCTTGGGTAACACCCACTTTCCTGTGGTGGGCTCTTTCTCCTGGAGGTCTCTGCTTACGTGGCCCTCAGAGATGCCCAGCTGGCTGCCACTCTGACCTGGGGTGAAAGTCTCCCCTCCCCCAGCTCTGTTCCTTTATGCCGTGTCCTATAGTCTCAGGTCACGTGCTCATGGGCAGCCCTGGCCTTCCCTGTATCAGGCTTCTGGAGGCAGAGGCTGTCTGCTGTGCTCATCTGGGTCCCCAGCACCTGCACATTGCCAGTTACTCCAGACAGGTTATTGCTTGCTCAGGGACTGGACAGGCAGTGAAGTGGCATTGTTATCTGGGGTGAATCACTGAGATTTGTTGTCTTACTCCATGGAAATCAAGGATGTGGACACAAAGAGTGAGGTTAACGGTGGCTCATGCCTGTAATCCCAGCACTTTGGGAGGCCAAGGTGGGTGGATCACAAAGTCAGGAGATTTAGAGCATCCTGGCCAACATGGTGAAACCCCATCTTTACTAAAAATACAAAAATTAGCTGGGCGTGGTGGCGCGTGCCTGTAATCCCAGCTACTCAGCTGAGGCAGGAGAATTGCTTGAACCAGCCGAGATTGCGCCACTGCACTCCAGCCTGGCTCTGTCACCCAGGCTGGAATGCAATGGTAGGTTCTAGGCTCACTGCAACCTCCACCTCCTGGGATCAAGTGATTCTCCTGCCTCAGCCTCCCAAGTAGCTGGGATTACAGGCGCCCGCCACCACACCTAGCTAATTTTTGTATTTTTAGTAGAGACGGGGTTTCACCATGTTGACCAGGCTGGTCTCGAACCCCTGACCTCGTGATCCACCCGCCTTGGCTTCCCAAAGTGCTGGGATTACAGGCGTGACCCACCGCATCTGGTGACTCTGTCTCAAAAAAAAGAAAAAAGAAAAAAAAGAGTGAGGTTAAGGCCGGGCACTGTGGCTCACACCTGTAATCCCAGCACTTTGGGAGGCCAAGGCGGGTAGATCACCTGAGGTCAGGAGTTTGAGACCAGCCTGACCAACGTGGTGAAACCCTGTCTCTACTAAAAATACAAAAATTAGTTGGGTAGTGGCGGGCACCTGTAATCCCAGCTATTCAGGAGGCACAAGAATCACTTGAACCCAAGAGGCAGAGGTTGCAGTGAGCCAAGATCGTGCCACTGCACTCCAGCCTGGGTGATAGATGGAGACTCGGTCTCAAAAACAGAAAAAAAAAAGAGGTTAAGAGCTGAAGTTTAATAGGTGAAAGAGAAGAGCTCTTGCCTGGCGCTGTGGCTCATGCCTGTAATCCCAGCACTTTGGGAGGCTGAGGCAGGCAGATCATGAGGTCAGGAGATTGAGACCATCCTGGCTAACACGGTGAAACCCTGTCTCTAATATAAAAAATTAGCTGGGCATGGTGGCAAGCACCTGTAGTCCCAGCTACTTGGGAGACTGAGGCAGGCGAATGGCATGAACCCGGGAGGTGGAGCTTGCAGTGAGCCAAAATCGCACCACTGCACTCCAGCCTGGGCGACCGAGTGAGACTCCGTCTCAAAAAAAAAAAACCCTCTCTGCAGAGCAGAGGTGCCAGAGAAATGGATTGCCGCTTCCACCATGAAATGCAGAGGTTTTGTAGATGAGCTTGAGGAGGTGGTGTCTGATTTACAAAGGACACAAAAGATTGGTTGGACCAGGTGTGCCATTTACATAGCTCGTATAAAAGCTGGCGTCCCACCCTAACCTTTTATTATGCCGAAGGTTTCCAGCACCATGTTGCCTGGTTCTTTATTGTACACATGGCGACAAAAGAAGGGAAGATGGGGCCCCCATCTTGAACAAAGCTAGCTCCCAGGTAGCCTTTTTCTATTGGCACAGCTGCCAGCATATACCCCTGCAAACTTCCAGCTTGCTTATCTATGTCTGCAGCTTGACTTTTCAGGCTGCTCTTTGTTAGAAAAGAAATTATTTGAAGGCTGCTTTATATTAAAAGGGAAATTTGCCAAGGACTCTGTTGCCCTTACTATCTGCCCAAATAATTTCTTTCTGCCTCCTGTATCAGCAGGAGCAGGGCAGAGTCATGGAATCTGCTTTGTTACAGCCACAGTCTCTTCCTGCTGTTCTGAGGATATCAGGCTCTGGGGTTTTGGCTTTTGGGTCCATCGAGCCACACTCTGTGCCGAGCGCCTCCGGAGCATCCAGAGCCACTGTGGCTTGGAGCACAACCCGGATGGGACGGAGACCAGCAAATGGGCAGGGACACACACAGCCAGAAGGTGCAGAGTCAGGAATGCCGTGCAGGTATCACACCTGAATGCCATTTTGAGGGCTTCCTACAAATGGGTGGGACAGCAGTGGAGATTGTGCCTGGCTGAAGGCATAGCTGGGCATTTTTAAACTGTGTGTCTGTGCTTTAAACTGTTGGTTGCGAGCCTTTTCTCATTGATTCCAGGGTTTTTATACATATATACACACATACACACACACACACACACACACACATTCTGGATACTGGTTTTTTGTTGATTACATGTGCATATCTTCCTAGTGGATTGTCTCTTCCCGCTGGCGTAGGGCTCACTAGGGGTTCAACTCCACAGTCACAAGACTATCACAGGCCTAAAGCATATCGTATTTAAGTCACAGACAGATGTCCCCGACTTAAAGATGGTTCTACACAGGATTTTTCAACTTTGCAATAGTTTTATCAGGATGTAACTCTGTAAGGATCGACTTTGTGAAGGGTTAGTTTCTACTGAATGTATGTCACTTTTGCATAATTATGAAGTCAGGACCCTCTGCTGTGTTGCCAGCAATAGATGCATTTTCCTTTTGTTTTTATGAGATGGAGTCTCACTCTGTCACCCAGGCTGGGTGACGCTATCTTGGCTCACTGCAACCTCTGCCGCCCAAGTTCAAGCGATTTTCCTGCCTCAGCGTCCCGAGTAGCTGGGATTACAGGCGCCTGCCACCACGCCCGACTGATTTTTGTATTTTTTTTTTTTTTTTTTTCAGTAGAGATGGGGTTTCACCATCTGGGCCAGGCTGTCTTGAACTCCTGACCTCGTGATCCACCCACCCCAGCCTCCCAAAGTGCTGGGATTACAGGTGTGAGCCCCCGTGCTGTTCTGAATTTTTTCTTTTTTTAAAAAGAGACAGAATCACTCTGTTGCCCAGGCTGGAGTGCAGTGGCACGATCATGGCTCACTGTAGCCTTGACCTCCCAGGCTTAAGCAGTCCTCCCACCTTAGCCACCTGAGTAGCTGGGACTATAGGCATGTACCACCATACCCAGCTAATCTTTTAGACAGGGTTTCACTATATTGCCTAAACTGTCTGGAACTCCTGAGCTCATGTAATCCACCTGCCTCTGCTTCCCAAAGCACTGGAATTACAGGAGTGAGCCACCATGCCCAGCCAGATTGATTTTTGATTTACGGTGGGTTTTTGGGGGTGGAACCATGGTGTCAGGAGCATCTGTACTTATATTCCCTCACGATGGTGGCCTTGTTTATATTCGTGATTCTGTTGAGTTTTGCTTTCTGTGCTTTCAGGCTCTAGCCGGCACCTTAAGGTTTAGAATTGTTCAGTCTTTTGAGTCAAACCTTTCCTTTTCTTTTTTGAGACGAAGTCTTGCTCTGTCGCCCAAGCTGGAGTGCAGTGCTGTGATTTCAGCTCACTGCAACCTCCGCCTCCCAGGTTCAAGCCATTCTCCTGCCTTAACCTCCCAGGTAGCTGGGGGCTACCGGCATGTACCGCCACATCCAGCATTTTTAGTAGAGACAGGGTTTCACCATGCTGGCCAGGCTGGTCTCGAACTCCTGACCTCAAGTGATCTGCCGCCTCGGCCTCCCAAAGTGCTGGGATTACAGACGTGAGCCACCGCACCCGGCCAAACCTTTTGTCATCGTGTGGTAGTAGCTGTATGTCAGATAGTACTTTTTGGCTTTTTTTTTTTTTGGTATATTCCCCCGCCAGCTCTCTGTTTCTGTCTGGTGCGTGTTTTCTTTTTTCCCCCTATCTCCATGGAGCCTATCTCGGCAGTGTTGAGATGATGGTCAGAGGGAGGTGGCTTTGAGGGGGAGGGGCTCGGCAGGCTGTGGAGGCAGGTGGGACCCAGTGATTCTAGCTTGGGGGCGTAGGGTGGTAAGTGCGGATGGAGGAGCACAGCAGTGCCTGTTTGGGAAGAACGCTGTTAGGCAGATGGCTCTGGGCCTGCCCCAGGGTACCCAGCTGGGACCTGTTTCTCTGAAGTAAGCTACTCCCATAGTGCATGTTCACAGCTTTTCTGCCCTGTCCCCTGCAGCCACCTGGAAGGGAAAGTGGCAGCTACCAGCTTCCCTGAGGCCTGAGCCAGCTGCCGAGGTTTGGGATTAGCTGTAGGTAACAGGAGTGATTCTAGCCTCGCTTTTGTAATTCCAGTACCAAGGGAGGAACACCTACCTGGCGAAGATTGACGGCTTCCGAGCCTATTACAAGCAGTGGTTGACAGTGATGCCCGCAGAGGAAACCCTGCACCCCTGGCAGAAGTTCCGGACCAAGCCCCAGGAGGACCAGGACACTGGCAAGGAGGCTGATGTGGACGGATGTGCCCTTGGGGGCAGGTGATGGGAGCACAGCTGAACAGCGTGCTCAGCCCTCAGTGCTCTGTGGGAGCCCCAGGACAAGTGAGCTGGTGTCACCTCCTGCCTGGGGGAAGAGCCAGGCCCTGAGGAACAGCTGCAGTGTGTCACGGGTGTTGGTGTGAGGACACATGCTAGGCCCAAGGTGCCTGCACTCCCGGCAGGTCCAAGGGCAGCTCCAGCCACTTTCACATGTCACCTTGGGTCTTCCAGCTCCAGTACCTTTGCGTGTCACCTCACACACCACAAGGGGACTGGGGCATCTGGTCCCTGGGGCCTGGTGCCGCCCTGCCGGGTTCCACAGGCCAATGCTCTGAAAGAATAGACGCGGGGCCCGAGAGGTTTAAAGATTTTATTTTTACAAATCACAACTGATGGACAGCAAAGCCTTCCCCGTAGAGACCCGTGCTCCAACTTGGGCCTGGGGCACTGCTCGCTGCTCCCAGGAAGGGGGTGGCGCCACAGGCAGGAACCTGCGAAGTCCAGAGTCCAGGGTGGAGAGCGCTAGCATCAGCCAGAGCAGCCACGGCAGCCACAGTGTGTGCACTCGATGATGCGGCCCTGCAATAGAGGAGGACATTGAGATGATGCCACTGCGCCACACTCGTCCCTGCACACTCACATACGTGGCAACCCTCTGCCACCATGCCATATAGGGACACACCTCAGAAACCCTTCTGTGACAGCTCTGGACGGAAAATTTGGCTCCCTCATGAAGGTGGAAACAGCTGCTATTGATACCAAGGTTACATCTGTATGTGTAGTTATAATACGTTATGCAAATCCAACACACGTTTGCCAATCAAGAAAAAGAAATCGGTGTGAATGAGTCTCGTTATTCCCCTAAGTGAGCATGACAGACCCTGCAATAAGCAGAGGTGGCTCTGCTACTGTTTGGGGACTTCAGGGCAGCCTCTGGGCTGGGACACTCTGGTGGGGAAGAGGGCAGGAGGCTATGCACTTGAGTTACACCCTTCTGGCCCAGAGCCCTCTAGAAAGAAGCGTCTTGTCCCCCAGGCCTGGTGCGGCCCAATGCTTGGCTGGCCAGAAAGCCCTAGAACAGTGGCTTGTGTTTATTTTACTTTTTCAGTTCTTTTTTTGGAGGAGCAAGACCGTAGTTTAAGTAAACAAGATCCTCTGATGAAACCCAGGTAAGTCTACAGCAGGCTGTTTTGGCCACTGGGTTGAAGCAGCACCCCAGTCCACCAGCCCCCCGACCTGGATCCCTTGTGGAATGTGGGCACTCAGGGGAGGGGTGGCTTCTGCCACTCTGCCACCCCTCCCTGCCTCCATCAGAAAACCAACACCCTAGTCTTTCCTCGGGGAGGCGGCCCTTGCTCGCCCCCACTGCTCAGTACACAAGTCCTCAGATCCAGCCGCAGCTCTCCATTGTCTCACTGCAGCATGAAGGGACCTGTGTGAAGAGGCACCTGTGTGGAGCTGGGGACAAGAAGGCCAGGCTGGCAGATGGGCCGTGGGGCCTGATCTCCCAGCTGGGCCAACAACTGTGTGCCGAGGCCACAGCTGCCTTTCAGAGGGGGCTCGGGCCGGATAGAGCTCAGCTCCTGTCCCTCAGCACCACTCCTGAGGTGCCTGGCCTAGGAGTGGTACTTGGAACAGAAAGTTCTGAAAGAAGAAATAGTGGGCTGGGCGCAGTAGCTCATGCCTGTAATCCCAGCACTTTGGGAGGCTGAGGCGGGCAGATCACCTGAGGTTGGGGGTTCAAGATCAGCCTGACCAACATGGAGAAACCCCGTCTCTACTAAAAATACAAAATTAGCCAGGCATGGTGGCGGGCGCCTGTAATCCCAGCTACTCCGGAGGCTGAGGCAGGAGAAT